CAATCAGTTGGAGCTGAGCGTCAGAAAGATCTGGAGCCGATTCCTCCTCTCGTTTTGGCGAAACGAGAGATCGAACGGCGAAGAACCAAATAAATGTGTTGTGCAACAAACCGCACATCGGCAGCCTGAGAAAGAGTCTCAGTTAGAGCTGAAGGTCAAGAAAATAGCCATGCTCTTGCATCTAAATCAATACCAACACTTTAGAATCAGATAAGGAATGGCAAAGTCAACTATGACTGACAGCACCGATTATTAAAGACACGAGCAAACAAAGAGCGAGTATGCGGCTTTCAGATGCCGACCATCAATAGTTAAGATGGCCACTGAAGCCAATTCGCTTTTAGCGAGCAAATAAAAACAGTGAGGCTGTTTCACAGAAGCGTCTGAGGTCAGAATTAGTCTCAAAAAGCAGCCTCAAACTTAAAACATTCCCAAATTACATAAGGCTCCCTGGTAAGAGGGGGAAAAAAAGGGAAAACAACCACGCTACATATGAATTAAATTAGTGCTGGCAACATCTCCACAACACCACAGAGAAGGTACAAACACTAAGAGGCCAAACTTCCCCCCCCCCTCTAACTCTCTCTCTTTTACTGAATGTATAAGATGGGGAATGTCTTATGTAATGTACATGAAGCTGGGGGCTCATGGAAAGTGGGAGACAAAAAACGTGAGGGAAGGACGGAGGAAGAGAAGGGAATAGAAGCCGAGTTGAACGCGAGGAGGAAATGGAGTCCCAGGGAATTAGGGATGGAGGGGAAGAGGGTGGTAGGAGGGAGGGGGGTGAAGGGGGCAAAGTCTGGAAGCTAGCTGACAGGATTGGATATGCCCAGACAGAGAGCCAGGCCCAGGCCCAGACTTGAGAGCCTTATGTGAATCTCAGAAATGCCTCACCCATCTCTCTCCCTCACCCCCTTCTCTTAAAAAGAAAAAAAAAAAGAAACCCTCACAATTCCTCCCTTCCCAGTCCGATACTCCTCAGCCATACTCACAGGCAGAGCTCCTCCCTTTCTTTTCTCCTCAAACAAGCAAACACACAAAGTTAAACTGGACTGCTGTAGTGCCCCTGAGCACACACGACAGAATCCAGGGTGTTGACCGAGCAAGTAAATAATAACATAAACCAGCTGTGGCTCCACTTCAACCACAATACTTTAGGTATATTACTGTACAACTGGCAGATCCCTTAACTCAGCTCTCTAATCCCTTAAAGGGTCAAACTAGATCTACTTTTACTTTCATTTGCAAGTTAAACAGTAACAATGAAGCTGGAAATGGACCAAAAGTACAAAAAGGAAAAAGGAAAGGAGAATAAAAGAGAGCGTCTTCCTCTAAAATCTCCCATGTCTTAGCTCTCTTTCTCTATCTTTCCTCATCAGCAGTGCCCTGCCCCAGACATGGTCTGCATATTGTCTGCAAGGCTTTGCGAGCTGAAATTCTCTCATGATAGAAATACTGAGCAGGGAGTGCAGAAGGCGCTTTAAAGAGAATGGGAAGAGGTAGGGCGGGGTGGTTGGAGTGAAGCACTGAGTTGTCTGTGTTTATTTTGGAAATGCAGGACTGCACACTTGCAGCAGAGGAACTGACCCTAAACTTCACCGTGGCAGATCCTCACAGAAAAAGCCAAGCCCGAGCACTCATTTAGGATGTCCCACACAGGTGATTTAAGAAAAGGGTAGACCATATATCCCCTCGGGGCAGGGGGCTGAGGGGTAGCTTAACCCACCCTGGGGACACAGGAATGGTCTGCTCGAGGAGGAAGCAGTGAGGCCGTGAGGTGATTAGTGGTTACAGTTTAACTGGAGAAAAATGCACGGTGCGTGAGCCCCAGCCAGCCTGGGAGCAAAGCGGTATGCACTGGTCTTTTTCAGTTTTCAAACTAGAATGAGTCAAGTCACTGTATGCACTTTGTCTATTCTTAATGCATGGGTCCAAGAGTGTGACCCATACAGACACATCAGTCTGCAGCGCTGCAAAATATGTCTGTGTCATTCAGCAAGCACGTGGCAATGATTAAGAATAAAAGATTTGATTCATCTGGAAGTGATTTACTATTATATACAAGTTGATCTACATTCAGGTATTGAGATTTACATGGAAGTAGCCTCCAGGTGTTCAGCTTGAGGCTACAAGAGAGGACTTTACTAACCAGTGGATGATGCCAAAGTGGTTTTATCCACCCTTTATGTACAGTTAGAGGTAAGCAATTGAATGATTACATTGCCTTAGCGTTTTGGCAATAATTTAATTAATTAATGATAACAGGCAACTCATTCATTGCGACTTATCTTCAAATAGGCACAGCTTTCTTAGAAATGTATCCAAAAACTGACCATCCTCCCTTCTCCGCCTAGCTTCAGTACAAAGACATTTCTTCTGGCACAACACTTGCATCTCCTGGATCACTGGTAACGAGCTTGAATGCACGACCCCGCCAAACGCGTTCGAGACGTGACATTTCCCTAATGCATGAAGCACGAGGCTGTTCATCTGATTAGCGTTAACTCTCTACAAATGCAAACCCCAGAAAGGACAGACTCTGCCATGGGAAATCTCAAGTGCTGCAGCTCTTATCCCTGGGAAGATAAACGCAAGTGTGTATCAGGTGCCTTGTTTTCACTGCATGCTGCCTCATTCACTGACCACTGTAATCCTCCCTCCCCTGCTGCTGAGTTGCCTTTCAGCTCGCCTGTAATCCCTAGCAGCTACGGAGCCCCACTGTGATATTAATTCGAACACTCAACTTGGCTTTACCAAGCAGGTTTGTGCAACTTACATCCCACCCACTTACTGGTAGCAATCCTCGCCCTCTGCACAGTGTTTTTTCCCCTCTTAATTGGCAAACATATTGTTGTGGTTTTACATGAAACTGTGAAAAAAACCAACTTGCTTCTGCCACCTTTTAGACTTTAGATGAGGATTTCTTTGGCGGCAATGCAAAAAGCACAATATAACAATCAAATCTATGGTGTCCATTTTTATTGGGCCTCGTTTAAGGTATTAAGCACAAGTGCACCCTGGGTTCCCACCATCTCTCTACCACAAACCTCGTGGTAATGCTGACGCAGGAGTACGCCTTTGAGTTCCACCTTTTCCACCATAAAACAGCTGCCGTTCCCTCACAGTTTGGACCAAAACTGAATGATGTCACGGTTGCGGTGCAATCTCAAGACACATGGAAAATTGAGGAGGGGGTGAATACCACACCCATGATCTGATTTTAGAGACTGGCACGGTGGACAGCCTTAATAGTACATATCCTCTGAGGAACCAACTACAGCAGCCAAAGGCTGTCAGACCTATAACTCTGGCTAGCACTCAGTGCAAGTTGTTGCTCCCAGCAGCAGTCCAGTTCCCAACATATGGCCATGTATGAATTAAGGGAAGAAAAAGGAAATATACAGCAAGAAAATTACACACACACATCCTGTGAGCGTGGAATGCCACCACAAAGACGCACAGCTGGAGCTCTGTGGACATCTGGCTTTATGGTGGAGATGAGAGACTTTTCTCTGCAATGACTAAATGTTGTGGGAGAGAGTCGTTGTCTGAATAGCGATGGTGATAAATGCCTTTCCGTCTGACCACAGTCTTTCTCTCGGATGGATGTTATGGTTGACCTGCGGCTGAACTGATCATCAGCTGACTGGATAAACAATGCAGCCAGCGGGCTGTGGATGTGAGGAGCACCTGTGCTCACAGTTCTGAGAAGGTTTATGGATTACATAGTGGGGGCCTCAGGGAGGGAGCAAAAGGAGTCTCTCCCTGTGCAGAAAGCCTCCACGGCCTCTTTCGCTCCTTCCCCACATTCTTTGAGAGAGGTCCAGTGGGCCTGTGGCCAGACCTCCTCTCTCCACATGCTGCCTGTGTGACAGTTTTTCTCATGCACCAACACACTATATTGTTCCCAGAACACCTCACAGTCACCTTGGAAATATACAGTCACCCAGCTCTTATCCCAGCCCCTGAGTGTGCCTCGTTCTGCTTGTGGCCTAATGCGTTTTAATGATCAGGCCTTATTACCCTCCAGCGTAGGCCTTGTTAGGTCTGCCTTGGCAGGGCAGAGCTCGGCTCTCTCTCCCCTGGCATCTTCTGGAACAATGGGACCAGGGGAGGCAGCCAATGGGGAGAAGGTCCATCCCAGGCCCAGTCCCAGTGTGCACACAATTAGGCTTAGGAACAGTGGAATTGCTTAATTGGAGGAAAATAGCGCTTTATCTAGGTTTCTCTGCCAAGGCTCATCCTTGCCCCCCTGTGCTACATGCTTGGCCTCATCTAACTCAGAACTGGATGAAAAAAAAATGACACAATGGCAGGCATGTAAAAACACCTCAAAGAGGTCTTAAGGTCATAGTTATGAGCAAAATATTCTATTTAATCACAGCACATTTTATACCCAGTTGCAGCAAGATGAAAAGTTTAAGTGAAAAAAGAAGTTAAAAAAAAAAAAAGAAGTATTTTCTCATCTTCTTTATTTACCAATAACAAACATCACCGGTTTACGTATCACTCACAAGCATGGAGACGTTGAACTCTCTATCAGATGCGGTGACAAACATCAGAGAGCTTCTATCAGGGAGGCTCTGTCTTGCACAACAGCTGGCTGAGCGGTGATGCATGCCTCTATATAGGGCGAGATTTGTGACACTGCTCTAAAAATGTCTCTCTCGGGGTCTGTGGAGAGGGATGCTGGATTAAGAACGGATGCAGACACGCGGAAAAGGTCGGTGACGCGGTTTGTGGGTGAATGGCACAAAACCCGGCGATGGCACGCTCGCCTCCACCGGCCTGTTGGCTGTGACAGAGCGGGGAGTCCTGGCTGCAGGATTTTCGGCGCACCGCTGGAGAGAGTCCCCGAAAATAGGTCACTGCCCTGTTTGAACTCGCGCAAATTTTCCTCACAAAGCATGCAGGAGCGCACTCACACCAGCGTGGCCACGCAAGACAAGTGGGCACAACACACAGAACTGACGTCTCAGATAGGGTTGCCTTTGGCTTACCTTGAAGCGAGAATGCCGTGGATGTGGTCGAGATATCTCCGGCTGTGTCCCGATCTCTGCTGTGCAAACTTCGCACGCAAAGTCCCGTGGCTCTAACGGCGTCTGTGTCAAGAAGACCCCTCGTCAGTTTGTTGCTTTTTCTACGTTAAAAACGAAATAAACAGCTGTCATGTCTTGGGAAAATAGAACTAGGTGTCTGGAGAGGCGGTCCGTTTGCAGACCATTGTCAGGATTATTTCTAAGCATTGAAAAGCAAACATAAGCCTTAAAACGCAGCGTGTGTGACAGCTGCTCGTTTAAATAAAGGCTTGTCTACGAGGATGACAGCCTTGTCTGTGGTCGTGGGGTGATATTTTGCATGTTATCCCGACACTGGAAACCCGTCAAAAAAAGTGCAAACACCCAGAGATCCTTAGCCTGAACTGTTCCCGCTGAGGAAAAAAACAACGAAGACCACTTGCTTGTGCTGTGCATCAAAAGCGCATAGGTGATTTCTTCCTAAATTCAAAGCGCATCGCTTAATGGCAACGCTGGTCAAGTACAGGGGTTCCTATGGGTGGTCTTGCTTCTCCAAAGAGGGGGCGGGGGTGAAGGGGTGGGAGGGCACCAAGTGGTGGTGGTGGATAGGATAGATAGGGCGGGTTGGCGACGGGATGTGGGGTAGAGGGAGAGGATCGTCTCTAGCTTCTTCGGTGCTTTTCCAGATGCAGAGGTAGGGCTGTTTTTTGGTTTCTTTTCGCGCAGTGATCCCCGTGTGTCTTCTGCCTGAATTTTTTTCTCTCTCCTCCCTCTCCGCACTCGGGGAGACGCTGAGTGCTGATGGAAGTCTCCCCCACGACCGTCTGACTCGCACAGACAGCCGCCCGGAGCCCAGCCAGCCCGTCAGGACCAGCCCAGAGTCTGCCAGCTCAGCGCATGCTTACTGCTCCGCCCATCCACCATGGGCAGTCCCAGGCTCCTCTCCTAACTAACCCTCTCTCTCCGTGTCCTCACGGTCATCTCTCCGCCCATGCTCCCCGCCAACAACAGGCCATCGCGCAGGGTGACACCTCTCTTGTTTACAGTTTAAAATGTTCTTTTCTTCTTCAGTTTTGTCTCTTTGCTCGTATTAGCCACTAACTCAGCCCCGACAGGCTGCTCTGAAAAGACGGAAAACGCCGTTACGTAATTTAAAAGTTCAGTCTCGAGAAGAGAGGAGGCGATCCTTCTGCGAGACAAACGCACATTTTCACCACACGAGCCAAAACATCCCGTACTTGGCTCGTACACTGCACTGTCGTTAGAAATGTCAGTAATTATAAGGATGCATTACTGTAGCGGTAATTCGGCAAAGCTGGTTATAGCAAATGCAGTCTGTGAGGTAATTAACAGATAGATTATCCTTTTTAAAAGCTTAGCTGTGAGCACCATTTTTACCTTAAAGTGTTTATTTTTTTAATTTCATATTTTGATAATCAATGAATCAGTAAACAGAACAGGATTTGCTGCCCCCCCCCCCTCCCTTTTTTGTTGTTGGTAGGACACTGTCGCCATAAGTTGTAAGAAAAACATATGAAACATATTTTAAACCTTTATTTGTTTATTTATTTACAAACTTTTCAGTTGCTGCATCTACAGTAGAAATTCACTACCTTGCCTAGTTTGTCATATTTGGCTGAATCCTCCTATAATTTAGTGCATTCTTCGGGAAAAAAGAAAGAAGAAAAAGAAAACAAAAACAACCCCCTCTTGTTTTTGTCATTTGGATGGAAATTACAGACCAATATTATGATTTGAGCACATAAACAGTGTGAAAATGTCACCAACTGAGCAATTTCACCTTCTGGAACAGTTCCCTGCGGCCATTTACTCCTCTTTGAGGTTTCACATAACCCATTTGTTTCTCACAGTAATGGTAAGACTACAATTACACGGTTGAATTTGGGAAACAAAATGTCAGCGTGTTAGATTTTAAAATCTAAATGTCAAAAAAAGAGAAGTGATTGCTTGTCTTGTATTTTGTGGTATCAGCACGTTACAGATAAAGTCAGTGGCACCACAGTGTGTGTGTTTGGAGTGTAACTAAAGGGTAACCTGGAGTGATGTGGCCAATGCCGAGCTGTAAGTTACTGTAATATATTAGGATTAAAAGCTCTTTATTGTCATTATAAATGTATAAGTCAGATGCAAAGAAAAAATGAATATCATACAATAATTTGTACAGTATATGTAAAAAAGTGGTACATAACAAATCTACTAAATAATCAATGTAGATAAAAGGGATCCAAGAGGTAATGTGTCATTTTCAAGGTGCAAATATTTTGCTGTATATGTATCAGTGTGTACACCACTGTTTTCTGGTCTTATAGGCTTTTATATATGTTGCACGGTTCTAACTTTTAAAGGAATTCACGTTTGTAAAATAACTAGCAGCACAGATACCAACTCAAACAGAAGTCTCTGTCATAATCGATGCAACTTTTTTTCTATCATTTTTTCCTGGTAGGTTTCTGTCCGTCTTGTGCCATCAAATGTGTCTGAGTGAGGTGTGCAATATGGCAGTGACTCGCCCTGGGTTTTCCTTCTACCACCACCAGGGGGCGTAAAGTTACCGGGTGGAAGGTGAAATAGCCTCCGGAGCCTTACATTTACTGCGAGAAAATAAAAATAAAAACAGTAATCTAACACTTCTATTAAAAATAAATAAAATGAATAATAAATAAATAAATAATGGGACTGAATGGAGTATTTGTACCATCAGTGTTTCATCAGTATTTGTACCATCAACATTAAAACTCCATAGCCTATCTTTATGTTATTGGAAAGTAATAAGTAAGCAGGGGCCTAAATAATAATGTCTGTGGAGTTTAAATCGTCTGCTATATCTGGAGGCATTACGATCTGATTCGGGATTCATGAACAAATGAATATTCCATATAATATAAAGAGGATTCTATAACAATGTAGGCTTTATGAATGAAAGGTAGAGAGGGGGTTTGTTTCTTGGAAGCATTTGTAATTTGGTGAAACAGTGCTAAGACGCACTTGTCCAGAAGAGGGCTGCTTTAAAAATCACTGCCACGGTTTCCAGCACTGATCTCCCACAGATGTATTCCTCTATTCCCCTGTAAGCGCCCGACAGCGTGCAGCCGCACCTGTGGGTAATTACTAAAAATGCGCCATCGTGAAAATATATAAAGCCGCTGCCGCTGCTTAAAATTCCGGATCAAATTCACTGCTCCCGTCCTGTGACTTCACTCCATGCATGCGCCATATAGCCTCTGTTTAACAGATTAGATTAGGTTACTGTAATTTAGCCTCCCGTGCTTCCACTGTGGGTCTGTCACACCCAAAATGGTGAACAACATTAACATTCAGTGTGTGTATGTGTGTGTGTGTGTGTGTGTGTGTCCCTAAAAGCCCTCCCCGGTGCGCTGTTGCTGTGCAGCGTTGCCAGCTCGTCAGCTGATCCCTCTTGTTCCCTTATCGCAGCTGTTGGATTGTCCACCCCTGTAGTAGTCCCGCTCTTTATTTGCTCAGCCCGAGCTGTCACGGTGCACTGACGTTTGGGTTATAAAATAAGAATTTAAAATAATGTTGTGGTTGTTGTGTTTTGTTTTTTTAAGCCTATTTATGTTGAAATCATAGCCCCTCTCTACATAAAGTATATTTAAACCGATTCAAGCCATGTGACGGGAAACTATTAATGATTCAGCCCAGCTCTGTGACGGCAGATCTGATCACAGATCAGCTGTAAATGCCCCCCCCTCCCCCCCCAGGTTTAAACATTCTAAGCTCCCTCCGCGGCTCTCCACATGTGTCGGTGTATTTCTGCGCTAAATAGTCCTTTGTTTACACGCAGTCCCCCCCCCTCTCTCTCTCTGCGGAAGGAGGCTTTTGGTAGTGCAGTGTGTGACTCCTACCAGCTGTTTCCCGCCTTGAAAGCCATCCGATCAGCTGCGCACACACACACAGACACACACGGTCATGCAGAGGGAGAAAGCAAAGGGGAGGGAGAAAGAGAGAGAGAGGTAGAGCGCCACACACAACGAGGGAACCCCATCAGCTGGAAGTCGAGTAACATTACAACTCTCAGCAGCCTCAAAGTACTACATTACACGGACGAGGCATTCATATCTCCTCTGTGGATTTAACCCGCATCGGATCACGGGGGATTTTTACCCACTAACGTCATAATTTTTCCCTTTTTATACCACGGAGACTGTTTGCTGCTTTTCTTTTTTTCCCCTTAAAAACTGCTGGTGGTGGGGAGGGGGGGCACCAAACTGGCGAGAGGCGAGCATGGAGTATTTCATGGTACCAACTCAAAAGGTGCCCTCCTTGCAACATTTCAGGAAAACGGAGAAAGAAGTGATTGGTGGTCTTTGTAGGTGTGTATGCCACGCGCGTTTCACCCGACATGCTGTGCCTGTTATTATTTTTATTATCATCATTATTATTATTATCACCGTCATCATCACTATTATCACCATCAAGTCATCTGCTGAGAGCACCGCGCACTTAGCGATGTCGGTTTTGGGCAACACGCTTGGTCTGATGTGTTATTGTGTACACGACCCTCTCACGCGGAGCTGCGGGCATTAATTAACATCAAACGGCGAGATCAAGGGGCGACCGAGCACGCGGGGGGCTCCCGCCGTGTCCACGGGGTCCTCTGCGTGCTTTTATTTTGCATCTTTGCCTGCAAAATCGATGTATTTTGTGGCTAACAAACATAAACCACGTGGTTCCGTGCACACCACGCTGCTACTCGCTCAGCGCATCCCCGACCTATTTGTGCTTTAAATAATCCCTCACCCGTGGCCTATGTGTACTTAAATTTACATGAGAAAGGGAAAGTTGAGCTAGCGGGCGTCGCGGTGTGTGAAGGGGTCTATTTTCGCCTCGCACATTCGTGGGGGTTGACGATTTCGCTCGCAGGGAGCCGAAGTTTATTGTGGGTAGTGCGGCCATGCTTGTGGCTTGTGCAAAAAAGTGATGGAGGTGGGGGGAGTGGATGAGAGAGGGGGTGAGAGGGTCTGGCGTTTGTTTCCTGTTTGTGGCGCCCTGTTTTCATTCACTCCAAACGTTAAAAAAGCACTGCTGTTGTCTTATTCGACCCTGTTTTAGGCGGCGGTGGTTTAAATGGCGTTTCTGCGCTTCCCGTTGACGCTATTGAGCCGCCTCCACTGCGTCGTTTCATCCCGCACCTCTGCCATGCTGCCTGCCGCATTGTTGTAATGGCGGAGGACACGAAAGTCTGCTCGGAACGCGGAGGTGGTGTCGAGCACTGTGAGGACGAAGGAAGTGTGTTTGGGGGACGTTAAAATACGTTTCCCGTTGGGTTTGTTCGGTAAAAGGAGACATTTGGCTTTTCGCGGGGAGGCAGGAAAATTAAAAGTGGCGTTATTAATAAGGGGGTGTGTGTGTATGTCGCGGAAGGCCCGTCGATACGTCCGCAGCCCTGTTTGAAGAAGGAGGCGGAGGGATCTGCGACTGTTGCTCCTGCTGCTGGTAGTGACATGGGCAGTCTGGGAAATGTAGTCCGCTTTTCTGCGGGGAATTGGTGCACCGCAAGGAAAGCTGGAACTTTACCCAGACAAACTTTAAATGCTTTTAAAATTTAAAATAAAGCGAAAATTGGCACATTTTTTCTTTAGACTTTGACTCCGTGAGCACACTCTAAAGTCCTTATCACTCAAATATAACTTAATAAAAGCCAGAATGACTAAAATTTGTATCAGTTCTTGTTGTAAAGTCACATTTATTCAGCAATAAAATACAAAGTTCGTTATTAATTAGCTTTTTTAAATCCCTGGATCTGTAAAATATAACAGTTTTTTAAAAATGATGATCACTTTTATAGTTGTATTGTTACATTTTATCTACACAGCAGTTTTAAAACTCATATGTCCAGGTTGTTATATTTGAGACATTTTGTCATTCTTGTTTGAAAAGCAACTTGTGATTATTAATGTATTTGTAGAACTCGTAGAATTTGAAGACAACGTTAGAAAGGCAAGGTTGAGATGATTTGGGCATGTGCACAGGAAGAATTGTGGATAGGTTGGAGATGAAAGATGGACCTCCCAGGTGAGCAGATTGCATGCAGAGGGTTGGAGTAACAAGAGAGGTTGCTAAGGGTTGGATGTGATGGAGGCAATCGGAAAATGATGTTGAATATATTTGTGGAACCATATTTCAATTTGATCAGTTTTAATCAGCCTGTTGGTTGAGCTTTGTTTAGTTTCTTGGGTAATGATTTAAGCCTAAACTCACTCTAATTCAGGCTCTAAAGTGGCCTGTGTTTGTGAAGTTCAGGCTCAGTTGGTCATGTTTTGGCAGTGGATCTGTTTGTTGGATGTGCTGCTGCAGTGCTACACATGTGTGTGTGCGTGTCTGTGTATACACACATAGACACTGCTTTTCTAATCTGCGTCTGCACAATTGTTCCCAATGTTTGCACTAAGGCAGCTGAGTCAGTACAGATAAGAGCTTGGCTTCAGAGAGGGTCCCATAGATAGTGTTTGATACTGAGGATGTTAGAGGAAATTCACTTAGAATTCCCCCTCAAACTGAATTTAACCATGTAGAATGCACTGATTCACAGTTTAAATATTGGAATGTTCATAAACTATATGCTGCTGCAACATTGACATATCTTCTAACACGTGCTAACAATTCAAATAAACAGAACTTGTGATCTTTCATAGGTTTGTAACAATTTCAGTTATTAGCAATGATACATGTAGTTGCTAGTGAGCTGAAAGGACAAAGCCGCTGTAAATACCTGTGTAATCACAGGAACGGGCCAGTCATTTCTGCTCTTTGGTGATATAAATACACACTTTAAAGAGTCAGCTCACATAAAAACAAAACAAAACAAATACAGTTGATGTCAAGGGGAGCAAATGCTGTCAGCTTTTTGCTTTTCCTCCTGTGTCCAGATAATTTCTTATGTAATGCAGTTCTGGTATATGTAAACTTAACTCAGCTGCAGGTTTACTGCATGTAGCAAACTGTGCCGTGGCATAAGCTGTTTTTATTGGAACTATTTCTTGGGTATAAGGTAGTTCCAACAAAAACCATCAGGAGAGGCTCGCCTGTGCTTGCAATTAGTTTACTAACTTGACCACTAATAATTTCCCCACACTAAAACTTGAGATGTTTTTGAAGTTATTCTGAGAAATGAAGGAAAGTGCTAACGGAAGTACGAGAAGAAAGAGCAAATTGAGGAAATCTGGGCTGACCAAAAAAAAAAGATTTGATTAGCATTCCCAGCAACAAGTTTACTTGTGGCCATTGAGTGTGCCATCAGCACCATATTAGTAAATGTTTTTTGTTTTAACACCGATTGGTTTATTTTTAAGTCTTCTTAAACTGTACATTTTCCCTAATAGCTTTCCTGCCTCTCCCTTCTCCCCCTAGCCTGGCCAACATTCCTCTGACCCCAGAAACAGCCCGGGACCAAGAGAGGCGAATCCGCAGAGAGATCGCCAACAGCAACGAGCGTCGGCGTATGCAGAGCATCAATGCTGGATTCCAGTCACTTAAAACACTCATCCCACACAGCGATGGAGAGAAACTCAGCAAGGTGGGTCATAAACAGTGATTTAAATTAGATGATGAGTTAGCTGGAGCTGGAAGGGTCTGAACTTGCTTTCATAACCAAACTGTAATGTTGTTCTTCAGGCTGCCATCCTGCAACAGACGGCAGAGTACATTTTTACTTTGGAGCAGGAGAAGACACGTTTATTGCAGCAGAACAGTCAGCTCAAACGAATCATACAGGTAAAACAGTGCGCTGCCCATGCAGACTGTTTGCAAAGGAGTTAGCTGTCTTTTCACTATCATCAATCTTAGCATTCATCTAAAGCACATCTCACATTTCTGTTTGCGCTCTCTAGGAGTTAAGTGGTTCCTCCCCCAAGAGGAGGCGTGCAGAGGAGAAGGACGAAGGGATTGGCTCACCAGACATCCTGGAGGAGGAGAAGACTGAGGACTTAAGAAGGGAGATGATCGAGTTGAGACAGCAGCTGGAGAAAGAACGTTCAGCCAGGATGAATCTGGAAGAACAGGTGACGACGACAACGCAGTTTCAGGAGTTTGAAATTCCACCGACTGCTGTGGTTTGAACTTTTCAAAAATATTATCCTATTTTTTGCATCTTAGATGCGGTCCCTGGATGCCCAGTTGTACCCAGAGAAGCTGAAGGCAATCACCCAGCAGTTCCAGGAGCAGCAGGCCCAAACGCAGAGCCTTGTCCGTCTGCAGCAGCACAAACAGCTGGAGAGAGACCTCACTCCAGCCCACAGCCCACAGGTTGAAACATCTGCATATCACTGACTGATATACTTTAAAGATGTATGCTTTTCACTGATATAGAAAAATCCCCTTGTTTCAGTGTTTCAAACAACCTAATGAATTTAAACCGTTTTTGACACAGATGATTAGTAAATCAAATCAAGTGTAAAAATCTGGCCTTTTAGACAAATTTTTAGCTTTGAGGTAAATGTTTTGGGATTTGTTGACGGAATGATACGATAAAAAATGTAGACCTTTTGTCTTCATTGTTCAGCTCAGCTTTTTCCCCTCTGTATCTTTGTTCATCCTTTTAACATATACAGAGGCCCTGTGCAGCAAGCTCTTGAATTTGACACACAAAAAAGTGTTTATTTTTGGCTCATTAGCCTAAACTCATCAGCTGGCAGGCACCAGATTTCCCCCCCCCCTTCCCCCTCCTTAGCGTGTAAATTTTTTATGGACTTTGAGTCAATTATGTCAAAGTGTGTTGCATTTTCTAAAAATACACACACATACGCAGCTAGACTAATCTCAGAATCTACCATAGATTTCACAAAGACATGTGGACAAGGACATGACAGTCCTGTCCATGTCCACAGTTAGAGCTGTCAGCAGCTCAGACAGATTTACAGTGTGTTAAATGAGCCGCTCACACGTCTTTCTGCCGGTGCCGTCTCCAGCCCTGATAGCTGCAGCATCCTGTTACTGCAGGCTTACCCTAACTGAACATGATGCCAAATCAATCATCGCCTGATGTCTGCCCTATCCGCTCCTTGTGGCTTTTGCAGTAAAAGATGATTGATGCCCTTTACATTAGTCATATGACACTTTGTGACTCCATAAGCAGAGCTGTGTAATGTAACCTCAAGTCAATATCAGTATGATATTGGGGGGAAAGCTAATTCAGGTGTGATTTACTGTATTGTTACCATCATGACTACTGAACAGTCTAGGACTGCATTGCATGACTCACTTTAATATTGCATTTTAACTTGTTATCATGTTAACATCTCAACAAAAAAAAAATTGTGATAGGGTCATGTTTAGCACTATGCAGCATCTTCTCTTTTTTTTAACAGTCCATAAACATCTGGGAACTGAGGAGATCAGGGGCTAGACTTCTGGGTTAGCATGTTGTCCCATTTTTGTTTGATATAAGAATTTAGCTGCTCAGTAGTCCTATCTCTGCTTTGTCATAGTTTTCATTTCATAATGTCAATTGAGCTCAATTTAGGGTTTTTATATAAAGCACTAAATCACAACAGTCCCCACAAGTCACTTTATACTGTAGGGTAAAGACTCGAAACAATCAAACATCCCTCTATGAGCAAGCTCCAAGAAGTTGAACTTAATTCTTCTCAGTATTAATTTTATGTTTTTATAAAAGGCTGCAGGCAAGCGTAGATGTTAGGCGATTGAAATGTGAACTATGCGCCAACTTCATCACTACTCGATCAACAAAAAACAAGTGTAAACAATCTGCATTACTTTTGCAAAACACTTGTCACTTGTCTCCTTATGTGTGGAAAGTTCTCACCTGCAAGAGAAGAATACAAATCCAGCAGTGATCCTGAGTTGAAGCGCTCTGCCAGTAGTGAATTAGACTGCAGGTCAATGAGTTCAAGCTCAACATCACTGGATCCATTATTCAAACTGCAAGTGAAGGGAGCTGAAATCATGTGCATTTCACTCTCAAGTGTTTTGAAGTCTTCAAATCACCTTGAAAACTCATTATGCAGGGCTCCTAACGTGGACAAGTACCAGCTGAGGGGATCAGCTGATGGTATGGCTTCTTTCACTGTTGACATGTAAGTGAGAATGGTGTTCCCAAATCGGCTTGAAAGAAACTGCAACTTTCTTATAAAACCTTTTTGTGAAGCTTTACATTTCATGTGCAAATTGGCCCTGTCTCGCAGTTTGGTATTTAGTTCATTCATTAGTGCAGTCATATAAATAACAAATGTAAGACTGTATTCCGTTCTCCTGAAGAGCGCTCTGAATTATCCTTGCCTTTCTTCACATAAAACTCTTGAATTTTTACTCTCAAGTGCGACACTATTACCCAAGCTGAGCCACCTGACAGCTGTGTGGTAGCCTATGTCACCATTTTCAGTCTCGCATCCCTCCAAAAGCCTAACAAACAGTGCTCTTGCCCACATCAAGTTAACTATTTTAACAATGATATGGTTCATTTTTAGCATCTACTTACACAACACCGCCTGGTGTATAATACAATGCAGAGATACCTATTTCAGTTCTGGGATCATTTCAGTCCCTTTTTCTTGCATCCACTTCAGAAGGCTGACATTTTCCCTGTCAGATTTGCATCTTTTTTTCTTTCTTTTTTTTACTCGGGGTATGCTAGCACAGCACAGTCCACAAAACACTCTTTTATAAACTCCCCAAGAGAAATTGGCTTAATGTTTTTTTATGATTTGATGAGACTCTTCCATCCCTAGATCTGTAAAGCTTGGTAAAAGGTCTTTGTCGTTTTGTAGCTTTTTTAGCAAAGGTTCAACTGTCTGTTCCCACTCTGCATCGGTTCTTGTATTTCTCTAAC